GTTTGCTTCAGAGCCTTGCAGTCCAACAGCAAGCCCTGGAACAGGTGGAGGCCCACCATAGGGAATCGTTGGAACGGCAGGAACAGATACACCAACAGCAAATTGCGGCCATCATGAAACCGCTTCAGCAGAGGCAGCAGACTGAGGCTGGGAGTGATTCTACTACCATCTTTTCGTGTAAGTCACCTGCTGCCAAAGATGACTGCAGATGAGGACCCTGAGATGTTTCTGACCATGTTTGAAAGGACAGCTGAAAATGAATGTTGGCCTAAAGAGCAGTGGGCTGGCCTAGTGGCCCGCCTACTATCTGGCGAGTCTCAAAAGGCTTATTTTGACCATGAGCCTGAGGAAGCCAAGAACTATGATCATTTAAAAATGGAAATTTTGGCACGGCTGGGCGTAACCCTGGCTGTCTGGGCTCATAGGGTACACAACTGGAGTTATCGACTGTGAAAACCACCCCGATCCAAATGTATGACCTTATTCATTTGACCAGGAAATGGTTGCAGCCAGATACACTGTCTGGACCAAATATTGTGGGAAGAGTGGTTATGGACAAGTTTCTGAGGTCTCTTCCTACTACTTTGCAGCAGAAATGGGTGAGTCATAGAGATCCGGAAACAGCAGACAAGCTTGTGGACCTTGTGGAGAGGTACCTAGCAACTGAAAATCTAACGTCTTCCCTCAAGGACTCACAGACTTTTCACCCCAAAACCAGACCATCCCTGGCTATGGGTAAGATTGCACCAAGGGATGGGGGTGGAGAGAATGGAAAAGGGGGAACGAAAGGTACTTTTGGGACTGTTTGCAATATCTGGCGCGGGAAGCCTGGAAGGTCAAACCCCCGCAGAGGTGAGCAGACAGATAATCTGTTACTGCTGCTGGGAAGAGGGTCATGTAGCAGCAGATTGCCCAAGTACGGATGAACCAATGCACTGTGACTTTCTTACAGAGAGACAGCGGTCCCTATTTGCAACTATTACTTGCACTGCTGTAAAGGAAAATGAGAAGCTTTTATGCAAAATATGTATTGATGGTAGAAATGTTGTGATATTGTTGGATTCAGGTAGCTTGGTTACCTTAGTCAAAACTGAACTGGTAAGGGGAAAAACCTTGCACCCTAGAAAACTGGCAGTCATTTGCGTTCATGGGGACACTCGAGAGTATCCTGTGGCAACAGTGTCCTTTGAGACCTCCCTGGGTAACCTGTGCCATCAGATGGGTCTGGTTCCCCAACTACCCCATGACGCCATTGTGGGAAGGTATTTCCCAAAATTCTGGGAGCTCTGGAATGGCCCAGATTTCCCATTGAACGATCCCTCAGAGCCTGAAGGTTCTCATAGGGAATCCTCTGAGGGTGAGGATTCACCTGAATTTCCTTTGTCAGTATTAGCAGGGGAAACAGGGCCTAGGGAGGAGCCTACAACCTCAGAAGTGGAACAGCCACCCCTACTGTTTGCCTTAGAAGTACACAGGGAACATTTTGCCACTGAACAACTGAAGGACCCCACATTACTATGGGCCCGAGAGAATGTAGTAAAAATAGAGGGGGAATTGGTGAATCCTGACGAGAGGATTGCCCTCCCGTACTTTATCATAGAAAGAGAACTATTATACTTGGTGTCACAGAGGGTGGAGGAAACCATAGAACAACTGGTGGGGCCTAAATCTTAGCGCAAATTGGTCTTAGAGCTGGCCCATGGGCACATTCTAGGGGGACATTTAGGAGCTGAAAAGACCCGAGACAGAATCGTACAGAGGTTCTATTGCCCTGGGGTCAATAAGGAAGTGGAAATGTACTGCTCTTCCTGTCCAGTGTGTCAGATTTCAGCCCCAATGCCACATTTTTTGCAGTCCTTTGGTTCCTCTGCCCATCATTGAGGTCCCTTTTGAAATGATTGCCATAGATTTGGTTGGCCCCTTGCTAAAGTGTGCTAGGGGGCACCAACACATCTTGGTGATAATGGACTATGCCAACAGTTACCCAGAGGCAATTCCTCTCCAAAAAACCTTTGACAAAACCATTGCCAAAGAGTTATTTCAGGTCTTCAGCCGTGTAGGCCTTCCCAAGGAGGTACTAACCAATCAGGGCACCCCGTTTTATGTCTAGGGTAACTAAAGAACTGTGTAAACTTCTGAAGGTGACCAAACTCTGTACTTCAGTGTATCACCCTCAGACAGATGGGTTAGTAGAAAGGTTTAACAAAACTTTAAAACAAATGCTGAAGAAGGTGGTTGATAAAGACGGGAAAAATTGGGATTGTCTACTACCGTATTTAATGTTTGCGATCCGAGAGGTTCCCCAATTGTCCACAGGGTTCTCTCCCTTTGAGTTGTTGTATGGGAGACACCCACGGGAGCTATTGGACATTGCGAGGGAAACATGGTAGAGTGAGAGTTCCCCTCATAGAAGTGTAATTGAACATGTGGCCCAAATGCAAGATAGAATTACACAAGTAATGCATATTGTGAAGGAACATATGGCTCAAACCCAATTGACTCAACAAAGAATTTACAACCGTGGAGCTTGGATCCGTTCTTTCACCTGGTGATAGGGTGTTGGTCCCCATGGTTGAAAGTAAATTCCTGGCCAAATAGCAGGGCCCATATGAAGTGTTAGAAAAAATAGGGGACGTGAATTATAAAATTAGCCAACCAGGAAGGCGAAAACCTGAGCAGGTGTACCATGTGAATTTGCTAAAACCCTGGAAGGATAGGGAATCCTTGGTCGCTGAAATTTCCCTGATTCCTGCTCCGCCTACCTTGGAAGTCCCAGAGGTAGGGGTAGCGGGGACTCTATCAAAAACGCAGCAACAGGAAGCTAGAGAGTTTGTGCTCAACAACAAAAAGAAAATTCTCAGCATTCCCTGGGTGGGTGTCCGGGATTGAGCATGACATTATTACCTCTCCAGGGGAAAGGGTCAAGTTAAAACCCTATCGTATTCCAGAAGCTCAGCAAGAGGCAATTTGCCAAGAAATAAAAAATATGCTTGAACTGGGGGTTGTAGAGGAGTCAAACAGTGATTGGTCCAGTCCTATTGTGCTAGTGCCCAAACCAGATGGAAGTTGGCGGTTTTGTAATGACTTTTGCCAACTGAATAAAGTCGCTAAGTTTGACACCTATCCCATCTCCTTTATAGACGAACTGATTGATCGTCTAGGGACAGCCCGGTATATAACAACACTGGACCTGACCAAAGGGTATTGGCAGATTCCTCTTTCAGAATCGTCCAAGGAAAAGACTTTGTAACTTGAGAGGGTTCTTTCTAGTATTGGAGGATGCCATTTGGGTTGCAGAATGCTCCTGCCACATTTCAAGGGGTGATGGATAAGACCCTCCGGCCCCATAGAGCCTATGCTGCAGCATACTTATATGATGTGGTCATCCATAGTGAAGACTGGGACTCACATTTACCGAAAGTCCAGGCAGTATTAGAGATCTGGAAAGCAGGGTTTACAGCCAATCCAAACAAATGTACCATTGGGCTAGAGGAAGCCAAGTATCTGGGATATACCATTGGGAGAGGTCTGATAAAGCCCCAGGTCAAGAAAGCTGAAGCTATACAAAGCTGGCCTTGCTGCACCAACAAGAAGCAGGTACGAGCATTGTTTGGGAATTGCTGGTTATTACCGGCGGTTTATTCCTCATTTTGCTTCACAGGCTGCTCCCCTGACCAATTTGACAAAAGGGAAGCAGTCTGTCATGGTCAAATGGACCCCTGAAGCAGAAGCAGCTTTTGAGGCCTTAAAACGGGCGTTATGTAGACAGCCAGTGTTGTACTCCCAGGATTTTTCGAGGGACATTGTGGTCCAGACCGATGCCTCAGATGTTGGGTTAGGAGTTGTGTTGTTGTCTCAGCTCAAGGGGGAAGAACACCCCGTCATTTACCTCAGCAGGAAATTAAAGCCCCATGAAGAGAATTATGGCACCATTGAGAAAGAATGCTTAGCAATAAAGTGGGCTCTACATTCTCTCCGGTACTATCTCTTGGGAAGACAGTTTGAACTGGTAACCGATCATACTCCCTTAAAGTGGATGGCACAAAACAAAGAAACCAATAGGAGAGTGAATAGGTGGTTCCTGGCCCTTCAAGAAATTAGTTTTGTCATAAAACACCGCTAGTGTTAGAATGGGGAATGCAGATGTCCTGTCCCGAGTACACGCATGCTTGGCAACCTGTGTTCCAACCCCAAGGTTGAAACAAGAGGCATGCGGACTACGGAAAAATGGCGCCTGAATGCCCTATAAAAGTCAATGAGCGTTGTGCCGTCCTATGAAGCCACATGACCCAGTGGCGTAATGCGTAGGGGAGGGGATCTGAGTTCACGACGCTTAAAGGAGTACTACACGGCGAGTATAGGAAGTGTGGAGATCATACAAAGGATATCATAATACATGACAAAGCGGTTTTAAATGTTTTTAAATGTGAGTGCAATGTTTGAAGCCTAAATAAATATTTTAAAAGGAGATAAGGCACTATATTTGATTTTTTGGTTACATGCTACCAACACATATGGAGAAATAAGGAGAGGAAGTGGAAAGACCCCCTGGAGAAGAGAGGGAGAAATCCATCCATCGACTATAATCCAGGAAATCAGGGCTCTGGATGACATCAAGACCCCTTGTGGATAAAAGCATATCACTACACTCCTCTATCCATCCATCCATCTGGGATAAGGATACAGCCTGAAAATCACCCACAAGTCCATTTAAAAGGACACAAGCTGTTTTTGACCTTACTTAACGGTTTGGTCAAAAAATAAGGTGTAGAAGATTTAATTTAATTATATTTTATATATTTAATTATATAATTTTTGTTGCTTTAACCACAAGCCTACAGGGCACTTATACCCCCTTCCTGCCCAGGCCAATTTCCAGCTTTCAACACTGTCACACTTTGACAATTGCGTGGTCATGCAACACTGTACCCATATGAAATTCCTATCATTTTTTTGTGACAGAGCTTTATTTTGGTGGTATTTAATCAACTATGAGTTTTTTATTTTTTCTTAAACAAACTAAAAACCACTGAAAATTTTCAAAAAAAAGAAGTTTTTTCTAAGTTTTTGTTATAAAACTTTGTAAATAAGTGATTTTTCTCCTTCACTGATATGCGCTAATGAGGCTGCAGTGATGGGCACTGATAGGTGGCACTGATGGGCACTGGTAGGTGGCACTTATAGGTATTGACAGGCATCACTGATGGGCACTGAAAGGCAGCACTGATATATGGCACTGATATATGGCACTGTTAGGCGGCACTGTCTGGCACGTTAGGCGGCGGCACTGACTGGCACTGATAGGTGGCACTGATTGGCAGCACTGGTGGGTGACACTGAAAGGCTGCTCAGATGGGGCACTGATATGTGGCATTGATGTGCACTGGTAGGCACTGATATATGGCATTGATGTGGCACTGATGGGCACTGGCACGTGGCACTGCTTAGCACTGACACAAGGCACTGATGGACACTGACAGGTGGCACTGCTGGGGCTACACTGATCATCAGTGCCCTGATGTCCAGTGTACATGTCCCCTCCGCGGAATGCCGATTACTGATATGTGGCATTAATGTGGCACTGATGGGCACTGGCACGTGGCACTGATGGGCACTGGCACTGATGAGCACTGACAGGTGGCACTTCTGGGGCCACACTGATCATCAGGGCACACTGATCATCAGTGTACATGTCCCCTCCACGGAAAGCCGATCACCGGCTCTCCTCTTCTCTCGAGCTGTCAGTGTGACAACTCGAGAGGAGAGAAATGCCGATAGCCAGCATTTCCCTGTTTACATGTGATCAGCTGTGATTGGACACAGCTGATCACAGGACCGAGCCGACATCTTCGGCTCTTTCCGTGGATTGGTGATCTGCTGTGTCCAAGGGACACAGCGCACCGCCGATCGTCACGCGCTCCCAAAGCCGCGCATGTGAGGTGAGAATGGGAGGACGTCATATGACGTCCTCCCAGAACGAGAGAACCACCTTGCGCCCGTCATTGGACTATATGGCGGGTGGGAGGTGGTTAAGATTGCACAAGAATTAATGGTTCATGGTAATTTTTCTTTTTCTTTGGAGGATCACGATGTGATATATATACACCCTGTTCCAAATTATTATGCAAATGATATTTTTCTCATTAAACCTAAATAATTGATGTAAATAACAGTTAGCATAATTCTCATGTTATCAACTATTAAGAGTACAATTCAAATTTTTTTTAACAAACCTCCTAATGAGAACAGTATTTTTTTTAAACATAAACTTACAATGCACTGTTCCAAATTATTACGCACAGTAAGTTTCAAAACACTTTATAGGTTGTAAAGAACTAAAAATTGTCATTTGTTGCATTTGCAGCATATTTACTGAAATCAAAAGCTATTTCAATCAAACTTTTACCAACATTTTAACTTTTTAAACATTTTAATAGGTCACGTTACATTTTAACATAGGACCCCTTATTTGATAGCAGCTTCACAAGTCTTGCATCCATTAAAAACTTGTGAGTTTTTGGAAGGTTTCTGCTTGAATTTGTTTGCAAGATGTCAGAATAGCCTCCCAGAGCTGCTGTTTGGATGTAAACTGCCTCCCATACTCATAGATCTTTTGCTTGAGGATGCTCCAAAGGTTCTCAATAGGATTGTAGTCAGGGGAGGATGGAGGCCACACCATGACTTTCTCTCCTTTTATCCCCATAGCAGCCATTGATGCAGAGGTATTCTTTGCAGCATGACATGGTGCATTGTCATGCATGAAAATGATTTTATTACGGAAAGCATAGTTCTTCCTTCTGTACCAGGGAAGAAAGTGGTCAGTCATAAAACTCCACATACTTTGCAGAGGTCATCTTTACACCTTCGGGGCCCCTAAAGGGGCTGACCAGCTCTGTTCCCATGATTCCTGCCCAAAATATGACTCCACCACCGCCTTGCTGATGTCACAGCCTTGTTGGAACAGGGTGGCCGTCCACCAACCATCCACTACTCCATCCATCTGGACCATCCAGGGTTGCACGGCACTCATCAGTGAGCAGGACTGTTTGAAAATTAGTCTTCATGTATTTTTCAGCCCAATGCAGCCGTTCCTGCTTGTGAGCATTGGTTATTGGTGGCCGAATAGAAGGTTTATGCACAGTTGCAAGACTCTGGAGGACTCTACAGCTTGATGTCCGTGGGACTCCAGAGGCACCAGCAGCTTCAAATATCTGTTTGCTGCTATGTAATGGTATTTTAGCAGCTGCTCTCTTGATCCGATGCATGGATCTGGCAGAAATCTTCCTCAATGTGCCTTTATCTGCACAAACCCGTCTGTGCTCTGAATCAGCCACAAATCTCTTAATAGTGCGATGATCACGCTTAAGTTTTCGTGAAATATCTAATGGTTTTCATACCTCGTCCAAGGCATTGACCCATTTCACTCTTTTCGGCAGCAGAGAGATCCTTTTTCTTCGCCATATTGCTTGAAAATGGTGCTCTGCTTAATAATGTGGAACACCCTCCTTTAGTAGTTTTTCCTTAAATTGGGCTCACCTGCCAATCTAATTATGGTGTCCAAGATTGTTTTCAGTGATCCAAAGAGCCCTGAGACAAAAACAAAATATTAAATCTTTGTGACACTTAAATAGAATTTGCATAATAATTTGGAACAGGGTATAGTTATTATTTAAGAGATTTGTTCACATAAGGATAATAATACACTTACATAATTAATATTAATTGGTTACTAGTGGAGCGCGACACAAATTTCAAAAATATTTGTTGTTTTTGTGAATGAGTAGGGGTAACATGTACCCCATACTCATTCAACTGGGGGGGTGGAATCTGGGGGACCCGCTTGTTAAAGGGGGCTTCCAGATTCTGATAAACCTCCTGCCCGCAGACCCCCACAACCACAGCCCAGGATTGCAGGGAAGAGGCCCTTGTCCCCATCAACATGGAGACAAGGTGGTTTGGGGGAGGGAAGCCCCCCCTGCTCCAAAGCACCACCCATGTTGAGGGCATGTGGCCTGGTATGGTTTGGGGGGGCTAACTCATCCCCCTCCCCCCTTTCCTGACCTTTAAAAAACAAAAACAAAAAATAAAGTCGTGGGGTCCCACACCATATATATATATATATATTTTTTAATTTTGGCGTGGGACTTCCCCTCTAAATCAGTTCCAGACCCAAAGGGCTTGGTATGGATGGGAAGAGGGACGCCACGACGTTTTTTTTTTTTTTTTTAATTATTTTTTTTAATTGACGACCTTTATTTTTAGATTCAGCTGTCAAAATATAAAAATTATCTAGATCTTCGAAATATGTAAAACCATTACATAAAATCATTATAAAGGATAAGAAACAAAAATAGAATCAATAGAACTAAGAAAATCAAATTAGAATACATAAAGATATGCCTAGCTACAAATAGTGCTGTTTGTTAAACACAGTAGACGCAATTGAGTGTCGTCTTGCAGAGGACTCCACACAGAGATTTACTATTAAACAGCATCTAAAAAGAAAGCGCCCACGGCAGAGGGCTAAATTGTCTCCTGCACATGCTCATTTCTATCCCTGCATAGCATTGGAAAAGCGTCTAGTTCTTGACTGTCATGAATTCCCTAAAAAAAAACAATTTTTTACCCATTGAAAACATTTTTGGAAAAGTAATATTCTTTAAAGTGAAGTCCAGATATATGGGAAAGCAAATTTCAATGTGAACGTTTCTACAGTGATTTTTCATTCTGTTAGACGTGCTTCTAGGACAGATCCTGTATTGTGGCCATTAGTAAATTTGCTTTCGTGTTTATTTGTTAGACGCTTTCTTTAGTAAATGTCTTTGCCGTCTAAAAGCAGATGGATTCCAATGAAAAGTAGACTTTAGCCTACGGAAATGCGCCTATGCACTTTAATAAATCAGGGCCTATGCTCGAATAATTCAGGTGCCTCCTCCATGCATGCATGAGTAGCTGTGGACAAGGAGCTTGTGGAATAGGCTGCTTTGGAAACTGCAGTGGAAAGTGAACTAGTATGAGCCTGGGTGACTGAGAATGAGGATGGCTTAGTCATCCACTCCACCACCACTGCTACATGTTGTGGCTCAATAACACTGCCAGCACTGAAAAAAAAATGTTCCCTGCCTGCAGAGGATGCACCATGTCCACAACCACCACTTTTCACTGTGGACACAGAGGCTGCTTGTCCTTATTTTAGCTGCCTATGAGTGTCTGCCTCTCTGATTTTTTCAGGGATTTTTATAACGTATTTTAGAGTGTGGGATGGGAATTTTGTGCTTGGGTGCAATATATTTGTGCTTGGTGCACTATAAACCATTTTATTGTTTTTTTAATAAAGATAATAGGGGGTGCAACAATTATGGAGATTGTTGTTTACTGCTACAAAAAAATTAAAATAAGATAAATGTAAAAAAATTAAGAGACAAAAAAAAAAAAACTCCACTGTTGATGCAGAAGGAAGAACACCTGCGACACAGAAGGAGGAATAACAATTATGGAGAAAATTGTTTTGCTGCTGCTGAAAAAAAATAATAAAAAATTCAAAAAGCCAGGAAAAAAAAGGGAACCACTGCTGATGCAAAAGGAGTACCACCTGCGATTCAGAAGGGGCAACAGCAGTTATGCCCACAATATTTTTGCTGCTGTTGTGGCAAAAAAAAATAAATAAATGACATTATAAAAAAGAAATTCAGAAAAAAAAGGGAACCACTGCTGACTAAGGATGAACAGCAATTATGCCCTAAATATTTTTACAGCTGCTGCTGTGGCAAAAAATAATTAATTAATTAAATTTAAAAAAAAAAATTAAAACAAAAACGAAAAAGTGAAACCACTAACTTACACAGAAGCAGGAACACCTGTGACACAGGAGGAACACTAATGATACAGCAACAGAACCTGATGCTGAAAAAAAAATTGGGAACAGTGGTGACGCAGAAGTGCTGTAAAATACACTGACACTTCACTGACACCACTGCACTACACTAAACTATACTCCTAACACACCACTCACTAACCACTAAACTCCGGCAACACACTACACAAGGCTGCTGTGTAAGCCTTATATAGTGTGGGGCGCTGACTTAGCTGTGAGCCATGATTGGTGACTTTGGCCAATTATGCCACACGGTTACGTCCATGGCTAAATCCCCTTAAAGATGTTCTTGATGCCTGAGTCGAACGTAAGTCCGCCAAGCACCACCATGCACTGTGCTCTCACAGTGGCCTGCAGAGCCTCTCAGCCCTGACCACAAATTGACCCCTCTCTGGCTATTGCACCCAGGCTGCTACTCAACCCCCTCCTCTCTCCTCTCGAGCTGTCAATCTGCATTCCACGGAGGGGACATGTACACTGATCATCAGGGCACTGATGATCAGTGTGCCCTGATCATCAGTGTAGCCCCAGCAGTGCCACCTGTCAGTGTCTATCAGTGCCTTGTGTCAGTGCTCATCAGTGCACTCTAACCACTGGAGTCTAGCTTCCCCATAGCTACCTAGGAGGGCACTACACAACGGTATAATATAAAGAATGGTTTGCCAGTTATCTATAAAATACTATAGCAAGTGTTGATACCCGACTGTGATAGGCAAACTGATGCAACACACGTGACCACAGGAAACAAATGACAAATGATAAAATAAGTACAAGACTGAACCCCAGGACCTTTTACGTATGACGGTAAACCTCTGGATCTTATGATAAACCTGTACACCTTGTTGCTGTGACTTGTGGCAATCAGTTCCATTTCTAGTATGCCCCATAATATGCAGAGCACTTAAAAAAAAACCAATTGGTGCAGGGATCATTTTCTTGGATGGAGATGTTGACCACTCAATAGCCCGTTATCCAGTTTTTCCAACCCTGT